CGTTAGGTTCTCGCTCGTCGTCCGTCTTAAACAGGTGGCCGCTTCATCTCAGTTGCATTTGTCTCAGCCTGACGTGGATGCTGAGGATTCCATTGCACAACGATATCGGGAATCCTATCGTGCCATTTTAGCCTACAATTTCAGTTGGCAGGATGGAAACTGTTAGGAGCAGGCCTAACAGACTCGTTATCACGCCTTTCGGACGACTCGTACCACGATGCACTATCGATCGGCAAAACCGGAGGCCAGGCTTAGTGCATTGCCCTACCACTCTCATCAGCCCGAAAGCCCTCAAGGGCAGAATCTCATTGGTCTGGTTGCACTACCCTGTGCACGCGCTGTTTGCCTTAAGTATGCTGTACTAGGTACGCTAATAGACTTCCACTTTTGCGCCTTTGTTGTTGTGTTCTCACTTGTGGACTCAAACAAGGCGTAATTTGGCAGTGACATCTCGGTTTGGGTAACATCACAACATAAATGACTGATCTTCCTGGCTTGAGAAAAAGACTCGATCGCTGGAACAACAGTTTTATTCGCTTGAAGTTTCGACATCCGTCGTGAATTCTTCATCAGAGACATGAGCAGAAAATAGAAGCAGAAGCGGGTTGGTTAGAGTAGACGGTCCAGTACTCTGCTCCAAACAGGAGTGTCATCAGGACGATGGCCTTGTGCGCCTTCCGTTTGATGCACAGTTAAAGACCTGGCCATTCCACACGGAGGTTTGCAGCCAACCGAATGGCCTTGTGAATCCAATGAGTAACCTGGTAGTCGATTTTAGCGCTACGTGACAGCAAAATTTTCTACAGTTTCGGGTTGGCTGCTGGAACTTTACCCTTGCTGTTGGGTGAGGGGTTGTGCATGATCACTGTTTATTCCATGCTCCTTTTCATATCTTCACCCGTCGCGCGGTGTTGAGTGCGCAATCGTCTGCGAGGAGCAGGTCGTGGATTCTATTCGTAGATACATGCGGTGGGGCTTGCGTCTGCCTGCTATTCAGAATTGGCCCTTCAGGCAATGAAGATCCGAAAGTGAGGGATGATAAATTCTTATTAGATCATTATATTTATATGGAGACGTGGTCAAAAAGAAGCATGTGCTCAATTATATTCGTCATTTCATGCACATGAATCATGGGAAAAGGGGGCGGTTTGGGAATCGATAAGAGATGGCTCGTTAGGCGGAAGTGAGGGTTTTATAGAGCCGGTCGGATGGTAGGGGAAGGAGAGAGAGAGAGAGACGGCGCAAAAAAATGCAAGCCGTTTTAGTGAACGTTGACCGTGCCAACGTAAGAGCTTGCAGGAGGTTCTTTTGCGCGGACAAGATCGGCTTCCTCAATCGAACAGTGGTTGCTCCTACTGTTGCTAACAATCGCTGACCCAGGGACTTGGAGTAGTTTTATTGGACCATATAAATCATCCGGAACGCTTCGTTGGGGTCCACGCGATGTCCGGAATCAAAAGTGTGGGCGAGGATTGCGCTGTTTATGCTCCTCACTTCCCCCTTTCTTAGCCATACTGGCAGACGTTCTCTTATTCTTCTGGATAGGCGTCCACTCGTGTGACCAATATTACCTGCTCCACAGGAGCAAGTAAACAAGTAGATGCACACTAAGGTTGTCTGAGTCAACGATCTACCCTTACCTTTCCCGCACAATGCCGAATTGGTTAAAAATAATACCCGAACTCTTGCTGCTGAGAAGGGTTTTGATACGACTATATCAAGTCACCTTTCTAGGAGTTCATTGGCCGCATCCCTTTGAAAGGGGGACTCTCAGGAATAGCGTTTGCGTGTGCACAGTAAGTGTGGTGAGCTTTATTTGTATCACAACAATATCGTTCATAGTGAATCTCTCAACATACCCTTTCTTGTGAAGCAGGTCCTGTATTTTCTTAAGTTCCTCCTCAAGACCGTCTGCCATGAAAATTCTTCTAGCCTTTTCGAGCAAGCAGCGTACTGCATTGTCTAGGAACCTGCTAAAGTTCATGTATTGTCCCGACCAGGTTTTCTTTAGATGAACGCTCATTTGGACTCTATGGTCAGGTCCTGGACTTGGGAGGGCGTGTAAGAAAGGCAGCGAACCAGCAATTTCCACCTCTATCGTGAACTTATTGGAAAAAATTTGCTTGATTGACAGCAGTTAAGAGTGCGTCTACATTGTTTTCGGTTTTCAGCGATTTTAGAGCTGTCATTAACGTAGTGTTTCAGTTCACTGGTCTGATCGCCTAGTTGAAATTCCTCCAGCTTGTCCACGAAGTCCATCAGACACTGCTTTTACTCCTCCTGGTTGATTTAACTAGGTGAAGTTTTTGGGACCAGCTCAAGAGAAGACAGTGTAGAAAGCAATCCAGTTGAAGATAGTGCCTCTCCCCAGTCGCCTACCACCCCCACCCCGACTAGTGCACCCGGCACCCGGCAGGCAC